AAGAAGAAGAAAAAAAAATCATGATTTAGATAATGGTCAATGCAGAACAAACCAAATATAACAGTTACCTGTCCTAAGCACATACCTATTTCTCGGTTGGTTTCCGTAAATAATATCCCTCCGAACCTGACTTGAGAAGTAATAATCATACATAACTGTTGTAAACAAAAGATAATCAGTCTGCCTTTTCTCCAGTGCATACAATCATGCGGGAATTTTTCCAATAATAATATTTCAGCAAAATTCCCGTATGACAACGTTAATATGAGAGCACGATATTTTCCTTATTATAGAATGTAACTAAAATGTTGAAATGATAGCAAAAATTGCAGGTTGCGTGCTCGCATATGCTCATCGATGATTTTATTATAAGGGGAACCCATTCAGGACTTGGTATTTCCATCTAATTTGATATTGAATTCACTGATCAATTTGTTGTACACATGATATCCAGCAAGAGAGATGCAATGATCATGAGATAATCCAAGCTCAGCATAATGTGCAAGTTCAATGTGATTTCCATATAGTGCGAGAAAGTTTACTCATTATGAACAAAGCAAAAATCTATCCCTTGCACCTGAGTTAATGTTTATCTTTACCAAAAAGCAAAGTGAATCCAGAATAATGGGGACAAAATAAAGTGGATAATTTTCATCCGTTCAACTCATAAGAGGCAGAAACACTATTTGGAGTATTGATGTTGGAAACATGATTATACAGCCTCTCATCTTTTATGGCTTAGCCCTGGCAGATTATTGGTGCACGGACTCCCTTTGTCTATCAGAGAACAGAGAATTAGTAAGTGATTTATTTATGCAGAGTGCACCTACCAGTTGAGTGACCTTTTTCATTAATCTTTTTAACTTCTAGACATAGTTGGGACATGTAAAGGGAAAATTAGAGCACAACTTTCCGTTTACCATTGAAAAATCATGGAAAAGAAAAAAATAAAGAACAGGGATGTTATGACCCAACAACCACCATGAGATTGTTCTATTGGAAGGACTAAAGAGTATGAAGTAAACTTAAACACTCTTCCTTAGAGGTCCCTAACCAAAATATTTACTTAGTACAAGCTTGATTAGGCTAAACATCATAAAACTTGACTATTGTTCGAGTGAGTTTACTCAATCTACAAAAATGATTGCCCATAAGAACGAGAATGATCGATCAAAAGAGAGTGCTTATTAAGAAGTTAATGAGAATGGCAGGCGAGACAAACTTCACGGATTTTAGAGGCTTCTAATAGTGCTTTAATTTACAATTCCCACACGGAATTTGGCCATAAAAACTCCACCCCAGATTTAAGTCTTTGACAACAAAATTCCAAGAAGAATTTACAGGAAAAAAAAACTGTTCAGAGCAAAATGCACTTAGGCAATAAGCTATACAACAAATACCTTGAAGAAAACCGGGCATAAGCAGAATGGCATACACTGCAAGTGCAGTTAACTTTACGACCCACCGGTACCCTACCCTGAACGAAAAGAAGGGATCATGATATATTGAGAGAGGAAGAGCCCACTGAACAATCAAAACTAATATTCATTATGTTGATGATCCATGATTAATTCAATTTTTTTTATCGACCCTCATGTTCGAACCAACGAAATTAATAAAATAAGAGATTCCATGATTAAAGTAAAATTCTAAGCCACGAACTACTCGTTTCCTTTATAAAAAGCAGAATGGCATCGTGTTGGGGCTTGAAAACCAGCTACGAATTCTAATTACACGAAGCATTCTCCGAAATTTAGGGCATAATCCAACCCAAACTCACATTCACCTCTCAAAAGAACATTCAGGCTTCCAAATAATCGACATAAAAGAGACAGAAGAAATCCATGTCCACATTACCCAAGAGATCGAAGGAGAGTGAAGCCCAACCGAGTAAGAAGAAGCGTTACCGCAGCAGCATGGCCAATATCTCGAGTAAACGACTGCTGACGCCGCGGCGCTGGGGGCTTCACAGCACCAAGACGGCTCGAAAGAAGACGCCGGGACTCCGCGGAATCCTCGTCAGAACGAATCCCTTGGCCGGAAAATTTCACGACAGGGCGGAGCCGGTCAGCCGGAGCCGCCATCGACGGCCGAAAAGAGGAGAATCAAGGGGATGGAATCCGATCTAAAGGGAAAGTCGGGATGAGATACAGATTTGCACGTCTGATTTTGGTTCAACAGCACAAATTGAAAACGATGTCAGATTGGAGCGAAAGGAATAAATAAAAGTTGGAAATTATTGGACGTTGCAACATTCCAATCAGATTGCCGCGTGTTTCTTACGTGGCAAACCGAATAACGATCTCTTTGTCCGATTGGGACTCCCATTTCATGGGTCTCTTCACATTTTTTATTCATCATTTTCGTATCGTCGGGTTCCAATTTATTTATTTATTATTATTATTTTTTAATCACGGAGTTAGTAATTTTTATTTTTTTTAATTTTAAAAATAGGGTTATGATCCATCCCTGTCACCGTAGAGCCTATTTCATAATTGTAACTGTTACGACATATTGTTTTATTATATGTTTTTGGTCGGGATAAGATTCTCGTTCCAACCATTCCCTTGTCTCTTAGGCTCGTTAGCTATTTTCCAACAATCTTGGGTGCTAGTCCATCTCGATTGGTCTTAAGACGGTTTTATCTATTGATTCTATTTATGCTTATTATAAATTTTGGAATCGTATGTAAGACTGGCTTTCATAGTTGTTACCGTTAAGACTTGCTTTCAGTTAAATAACATACAACTCAATGGTAAAAAAAATACTCGGGAACACAACCTTCCTCAGAAGCTGAAAGCTCAAGCACCTGCTGTTGTGATTCTTCAAGCTTTGCAGACATATCTGACAGTTGTTTCTTTGCTTCTTCTGCTTCCTATTGGACTTGCTTTTTGTGTGATTTAGATACGCTCAATTGATCACTTGTTTTCTTCAGTTCCTCCTGGAGTTGAGAAAGTCGTGATTCCAATTTAGCCACTTTGCTAGGCCCTTTACTCTTCGTTTGACAATGTGGACGAACATCTGATAGGAGAGTTTCGTTTTCAGTTGTATGATGAGAACAACTAGAACTGACAATCCGTTCTTCATTGTAGTCTATAAAGGCATGAGCATTTGTAGAGACATCGTCTTGATGTACAGCTGCAGTCATGTTTGTTGGTTGGTCAAGAACCTTAATAGTTAAACAGTGTTCCCAAAATGGGACTGAATAATTTTTTTTATACAACATTTGCTTCTGATTTCTACATTTTGACTCGGCAATTTGGCTTAATATGACCTGGCTTTCTGCAACGATCACACACCACTTTCACCCGACAATCTCATTTAAAATGGTCAGGTTTTCCACATTTGTAACAAACTTTAAACGGCTTCTTTGACGACTTCTCGCTTCTGAATTGATTCCCATTGCTTGATGAAGGCTCTGAATGAAAATTCTGTCTCCTTTGATCTTTGACATATAACACATCTTTTGACTTTGGGGAAAGCTCGCTGCTGCTAGTCATTCGTTTAATCAAAGATTCCTGATTAGAAAGCGAATTCTCCAATTCAATAACTATAGGCTGTTTTGCCCACCGTTGTATTAAGGAAACAAAGGGCATAAAATCTTTTCGTAATCCACGAATAAGATAACGCCGTAATCGAGCATCACTCATTGGCTCCTCAACATCTAATTCTGAAATTTCACAACACAGATTTTTCACTTTCAAGAAATATTCTTCAACAGAAAAATTACCTTGAGTTACCACAGCTAGTTCATTCTCTCGAAATTGCAATCGAGCTGTATTTTTCCTAGTAAACAGCTTTTAAAGTGTTTCCCACACTTGTTTTGGTGACTTTAAATCACGAACATGACCAATATATTCCTTGTTAATCGAAGTTCGCAAGGTAAATAAAGTTTTTCCACATTTGATCTTCCATCTTCAACATAATTCAGCACTCTGTGGAGTATCAGCTGTGTTAAGAATATTTAGTAATAAATTATAGTTTACCATATATATTATATTTGATATTTTATTTCCGTTTATTACTATTTCCATATCCTTGTAATTTATTTGATTATAAATAAGATAACTTTCACACCATTTAGATGTGGTGGATTAAGCAAACATTCACAGGCTGGAATTTCTGCGTCATCACCTTCAATTAAATCCCACAAATCTTGCCCTTATAGATAAGCTTCCGTACACAACTTTCAATAATTATAATTATTGCCAATAAGCTTTTCCATAGCTATACTTATAATATAGGAGCACTTCCACCATCATCTTGTTGAGTAATAATATCAAAATCTTTGTTGCCAACTTGGCTCTGATACCAACTCACATAATATCTACTACTCAAAAATGTAAATAGATTTGAAAATATTAAGAAATAGAATTGGGATAGAAGGTTCAACATGTTTAAATAGGATACAAGCTACCAACTAATACCGAAAAATATAAATTAACTAAATCATGAGAATAAAATAAAATATATTACTAATCAAATCATAAGTAAAAAAATATTAAAATATTAAAGATATATTCTATAATTAATATATTCGTATTCAAACTATCACTAAGTTGCACTAAATTCTAACACGTGTATATTTATTTATTTATTATTTATTTTGTTGGGTGACTTAAATAACTAATACCTAATAAAATAAAATATATTATTTATCAAATTATAAAGTAAAAAAATATTAAAATATTTAAGATCTATGCGGAATATTAAAATATTTAAGTTCTATTCTCCAAATATTAATTAATTATGAATATCTTATTAATATATTGACTAATTCAGACTAGTAATAAGTTGTACTGAATTCAGAATTCAGACTGGCGGGCGTATATTTATTTATTTATTATTTATTTTGTTGGGTGACTTAAATAAGCTTATTCTAATATTATTTATTTATTATGTATAAATGTGAATTGACGATATCGACAGGGATATTTTGGTCATTTGACATGGTATTGGAAACATTTTTCTTTTTTCCGAAATAAACCATTGGATTGGGCTCTAAATTTCAACCCACTGACTCGCTTCAATAGTAGGAAAATAGCAGGTAAAAATGGCCGGTTTGCTCGCATGGGCGGCGGATGTCGTCGGCGGCGGCGCGAACCACGACGACGAACAGACCACTTCCATCCCCATAATATTTACTCCGGAGCAGCAGAAGTACGTTCGAGAATTGAATCAGAAAGCAGCTTCTCTTAGCCGCTCGATCCGCGATCTGCGCCTTCGATTGCCTCCACCCGACATCTCCCAACGGCTTCCCCACCTTCATGCCCACTCCCTTGCGTCCACTGCCGATCTTACTCTTCAATTGAACGCCCACTCTTCCACTCGCGAACAGGTTAGGCTTCTGTGATTCTTTTGTTTTTCTCATCTGGTTTTTTGAATCTTATCGAATTTATTGCTTGTAGATTCTGAATATTACTTCGGAGACGTCGAATTAAGGGTTTATCGATCTGGCACATTGATTCAAGTTTGTTATTTTTGTCGACAAGTCTAAATGGTTGATTTTTCCTGAAAATTCAATGGTTTACTTCGGAATTCTCAAATTAAGGGTTTAACGATCTCGGACTTTAATTCAATTGTTTACTTTAGATTCTGCATTGTGAATATTTGTTATTGTTCTGTTTCAGGATCATTACAAAATTGGTTCATTTGGTGCAATTTATTCTTAGCTCGATTATGTACAGGATCCCTATTTTTCAAGTGTCATATTTCATCTTTATTGAATGCATACGGCATTCATATATCTACGTTTCGATTGCTCTACCTTCCGATCGACTGTGGACTGGAAGAGTGGCTCTGAGATCTGATGCATTTTAGGATTCGACAGTAACCCATTACATATGGTGATTATTCAGCTTCAAGCGGAGATGAATGCTGATTATTTCTTCATCCCCTTTGATCCTTTTATTCAAGAGGTTCAGAGGGTTGAGAACGGATTCATTCAGAATCGGTGTTATTTACAAAGGGAAATTGATTAGGTGTTAAAACTGGGATTTAGAGAATGCTAGCAGTTCCTGGATATAAATATTAAGCCTTCTGCACTATGCATATGGAAGAATTCTTACTTTACACCGATGGTAGAAGAAACGATTTAGTAATAGCCAACGACAAGAAACGTTCTTGCTTGCGTTGTGTTTTCCTCTACACATTCACTTTTGTCAACAAACAGTACATTTACTTGAATTGGCACATTCAGTCCTATTATGATTCTTACATGGATGTTCATAATGTTCAATTCTGTGTTCTATCACTTCTGATAGTTGGTATCATTCTGATTGTCAGGTCCAATTGAGAGAGATATCATTACAGGAAGAAAATGTTGCATATGGAAAGGCTATATCAAATTGCGAAAATAAAATACAGGAAAAGAGGCATGAAGCAGATTTGCTTCTGAGGAAGTTAGAGGTAATGGTTCAGTTGCTATTTATAAATGTGCCTTCATTTATAATATCAATTACATCGGTTTTCTCTGCATGGTCGTATATATTCAATTCTTTTTCCTGGAATCCTCGTTTCGGATGGAGATATTAACCCAGCATTATTAATTTCATTTCCAAGGTATTATTAACATGATATAAAACCTTCATCAACTTGTTGGATAGTTTCAAGCCATTATTAGCATTCTCTTTAAGAAAAACTTTGTTCTTTGTTAATTTATACTACAGGAGTTGGAAGAAACCACCAAGAATCTGGAAGTTGAGCTAGAACAAGCACAAGCTGCTCTAGAAAAAGATGAATCCATCAACTTTGGAAAATTGGCATCTAAACCTTCTAAAGTTGAAGCAGAACAAGATATGGAAGTATCAAAGTCTGCCTTGCTAGAAAAATTAGAGATCAAGAAACAAGAACTGGTCTGCTGCTTTATTTTGATTCAATATTGTCTTTCTTCTTTTACTTTCTTCCCTCTTACTCCACATTTCCGAACAGTAGTTGCTGACAAAATTTCTTTGTTCTTCTAAGAGTTCAATGGAAGATACAGTTAAAGATTTAGAAAAAAGATGGGCAGACGTTCAGGATAAAGCTCTAAAACAGCCTTCACCAGGTATTTTTAATTGGTCACCGTGTCGATTTCTCTCCTTATTCCTCTGTAAAATACTTGATATCGAAAACTTTTACAGTTCAGAGAGTGAAAATGTTGGACAAACAGCTCCATAGCCTCATGGAGCAACTAGCTGTAAAACAGGTGAATCTTACATTTCTGGGGTCGAACGCTTAAATTTCGATTCGGCCAAGAAAATCAATTGCGAGTATTTTCTTCGTTTTTAGGCACAAGCTGAAGGTTTGGCAAGTGACATTCATTTGAAGGAGATGGAGCTGGAAAAACTAAATGCATCATCAAGGAGGCTTCAAAGTAGCAGCTCCGAGGCTAACATTGCTCGGAATCGTTTTGGAAGAAGCATGTCGGATAAGAATTTTTCAGACCACTTAGCTGACTCACACCACAAACTTCCTTATCGCACCGGTGGACGGAGTGACAGTCAACAGAGACTGATGCTACTCAGGTCTGCTTTCGTGCTCTACATTTTAGCTCTGCACATCCTGGTTTTCATCAAAATTTCTTTCTGATTTCCGAATAACCATACGGATGGTCGGAGTGAAGAGCAACAGCAACCGATGCTACTCACATCTGCTTTCGCGCTCTACATTTTAGTTCTGCACATCTTGGTAACATCAAAATTTCATTCTGATTTCTGAACAACCATACTGAGATTGCTATCTGACTATTCATCAGTATTTTATCTGTATGTAATTCTTCTTTAGATGTATAGAAACTCGATATCGAGCCATGTTATTTTCCTACTCATATCGAATACAACATCGTTAATTGAATCAAATAGTAAACCAAACACCCTTTTGGATTCTCCAAGGCCTCAACTGAGTATGAATCTGATGCAAATTGTATTCGTTCCTTCATTTAATAGTTGGAGTAATACAGATGAACAGCTGTGAATGTAATAAAATAAAGAATCAAAACTAAAACCAAAACAAACAAGAGAAATCAAAATGCAGTATATAAGAAATTCATCTTTGATTCAATTCTGTTTCATGATCATATTGAACTCTCTCCTGAGCTGATCTGATACCCTCCATTTTCAGCATATGAAGCAAGAAATCACTCCAAATGTCAATAGGACCAGGCAGGCACCAATGAACACAATCATTATACAAACTCACATTCTCTTCAGGCCAATGACCATACTTACTTGGGTGCCCATCTGGTCTTAGCCACATGGCCTGTGTTGTATCAAGCAACCTGAACTTAAGCCCCTTCTTCCTCCCTTCTCTCTCAGCTCTCCTAAACTCCTCCATTTGAGTCATATACAACTCCAAGTTCATACCTTCTAATGCCGAATCCTTGCTCCTAAATGGCTCTGTTCTCAAACAGTTCCCTCCTTGATTCCACAGCCCATTCTCAAAGTGTGCTGGTGAAAAACTCCTCATGTAAGTGATACCCTTGTAGCTCTCTGACCTCAAAATGGCTTTGAAGGCTGTTCTGAAGGCTTTCCTATAGCCATGGTAGATTCCGAGCTCAGTGACATTGTTGAGAAAGCAGTCATGGCACCCGATGACTCGTCGGTTTTCATGGAAAAACATAGGATGGAGAAACCATTGACCCGACGAGATCACCAAGTAATCCAATCCACCCATCTGGGAAGTCCATGATTCATCAAACTCATCCAGATATAGATTGTAGGTGCCTCCTGTTGTTGATTCTTCTGATCTTACCAAATGGGTTGTCCACAAAAACGACATGGTGAAGTTATAGGACATGTATTTCCATCTCTTGAAGTGTTCGTCTCGGCTGGGTGAAACATCGATCGGATACTCCAGCTGAGAATCAACAAAAGAAAGAAAAAGGTGTAAGGAATGAAGTAAATTTCACTCAAAGGGGAAGTTTAAAGGCTTTATGACTCTTCAGAAACTCTGTTTTGAAATAGTTTTTTCATTTTTCAGAACAAAATCTAATGAAACATGTTTGAATTACAAGTTTATCCCTTTTTTTTTTAAATAGAAATTTTAGATTAAAAAAAAACATTAAAATATTTTCTTTTTTATCTGAAAATTTTAAAAATATTTATAGAGCTCATTTTAAATATTCATAAATAATTCATTAAATTGAATTTTTCTATAAAGAAAAAAAAATCCAAAAAGGAATGCCAATAAAAATTTGTATAAGAAATTTAAAAATTAAAATCATAAAAAAAAATCCAATTAAAGAAAATTCACAATTTTCAAAAAGGCCAAAAAGCATCAAAATCATTATCAATCAAAGAAAAACTTTATCATATAATTCATAAATTAAAATTTTAAAAATATATATATATATAAAATTTAATTAAAAAAAATAAAATTCCAAAAATGACCTTAGAGAGGAGGCAGATGAGAGACTGAACGTGATTCCTCGCAATATTATCTCCCACAAACGCAAACGCCTTATGCCTCATCAGCTCCAGGAACTGCGCCGGATTAAACGCCGGCAGCTCGCATCCATCCGGCCGCCACCGCCATCGGAGGAAGCCGTCGACAGGGCGGCCGTACTTGAGGCAGTTCAGGTGCTCGTGAATCGCCCAGCAGGTATCATTCGTGTAGGGGAGGGCGGCGTTAGGGTTCGGATTGGGGATCCAATCGCCAACGGCGAGATCGCAGGGGACGACGGAGAGAATGGAGAGATTGCCGGAGGCGAAGATTTGGGAGCGAAAGACGGCGGCAGCGGCGGCGGCGGTGGAGGATTCGAGAGGAAAAGAAAAGGGGACTGTGGTGAGGATAAATAGGGCGAATGCTCCGCAGAGAATAGGCATTAGGGCTCTGTATTTGCCATTTTTGCAGGGGCGGAGGTCGGAGCTTGCTTGGCGATGGAGCATCATTGGAGAGAGAAATAGAAAATAAAAGGAAAATGCATTATATATATATATATATATATATACATACACATATATATATATAGAGAGAGAGAGAGAGAGAGTGAGAGAGAAGGTACCAAAGTCTAGACTAGCGAAATGGAAGTATTACCATGATTTATGGGAGTTATGGAAAAGCACATAAAATTTGTTAATTTTTTTAATTATAAATTTATAGTCGGTCGAAATTTTGGGTCGGGTCAACCCAATTCAAAACAAGTCAATAGAATTAGTCACTCGTACTTTTATGTCTCATCTCACGAGTTGAGCTCAATCTTTAACACCGTTAGGTCGAGCGTATTGTTTATGTGTTCTAGATAGTAAAACCCTGTTTGCCAATATTTCAAATAGTTGGTGGATCGGGAATCTAACTTCATGAAGAAAATATAATATCTCACGACGTGCTCGACACAAAATTAAAGGTTTAGAGTTTAATAGACATATATTTTTAAAAAAAAAATTTAATGTATCATATGTTGGAGTAAAGAAGGGGTTTGAATAGATGCATACTTTTCAACCACTTACAAATAAAATAGCCAAAAAATTAGTTCTATAATAATAACTACGAAACTTCTCTTCATTATTATGGTCTATAAATGGCCTATCTTTTGCTACATAGTTAAGAAAAAATGTGACGGGTACGGATCAGTTTGAATTGGATTAGAGAAATCTATTGGACTAATTTAAAAATTTGGGTTGGTTAGGTTGGTGTCGGGAGCAAACCGAGTAGAGTTCATAACCCAATCCTCGGATTTTCGAGTAATGTTATGTTGGGTTGTTGAATTGTTCTTTTTTTTTTTTAATTATTAAAAAAAATCATACTTATTGTATGTACTTGACTATATCTACTCAGATGTCGCAAGCTGATAGAATTCTCGAGTCATTTGAACACTCTTACTTGACTATATCTACTCAGATGTCGCAAGCTAAAACTTATATGTAGCTTGATGCCAAAAAGCCCTGATATCCTGGAAGTTCAAGCCTCGGGAGAGCACCCGTGCCTCGGAGTATAAGGTGCAAAGTAGTATGATGTAATAATTATTAGGGGATAATTATAGTACAATAATTTGTTTGTTTGGAGAGAAAAAAACTAAAAGCACACCTAAAAAAGTGATATTAAATGAATTAAAAAGAGAAAAAGGAAGAATGTAATAAGAGACGAGTAGATAGGAAGGTTAATTCAACCAATATTTTTCATCTAACCTAATCAATCAATTATTAAACAACTTTTTTATTTAACGTCATAAATATGCTTTAAAAAATCTAAAAGAGAATAAATATTCTTTTTATTTTATTTTGAATTGTGTTTAATTAACATATATTTTGTTCTTTGTGGCTTTAGTAAATTAATAAAACTATTTTCTTTAATATCAAAATTTTAAAAATACTTTTTCAACTGTCGGTGATGGGGAGGAACATAATTTTCCATCAGAATTTTTTACTTTTTTACTTTTTTTTTCTTTCGATTTTAAGCATCTTGGAATATTTTTAAAAGAAAAAGAAAAAAAAAACGTTATTTTACTGCCATAAAAAGCTCTTGAATTTAAATATAAATGGTAAGAAATCAATGAAATAACTTGGGACAACAATGTTACCATTTTAATCCTCGTAAAATGTTAATTTTGGCACGTGTCTAAATGATAAACACACTAGTATTTGTAAACGAGTAATTAGATTTAATATATACATTAAAGATACAAACCTAAAAAATGAAAATATATACCAAATATATAAAGACGAAAAAATGGCACGAGAAAATTCGAAGTACGAGAAACGACTATGAATGGCAAAAAACGATGGTATAGAATCGAGAGAAATGACATAAATTTATACCAAAAAAATCATGTGAAGAATTTCAGACTGTCAAATCCTAAACTCGAAATTGATTTGGAATCAATCACGAGGGATGGATTAAGTTGATAATTGAAAGATCGTGAGGTTAATGAGAACTAGTTACTTACATAAGGTTGGACACTCCATAGAAAAGTGATCAAACAAACCTACACGAGTGTTCAAAGATGTGACTTTCGAATAAGAAATGCCAAAGCTTATCAAACCTACTTGAGTGTTCAAATATGTGACCTTGGAATAAAAAACGCCAAAGTTGATCAAACCTACTTGAGTGTTCGAATATGTGACCTCCGAATAAGAAACGTTAAAGCTAATCAACCCTACTTAAGTGTTCAAATATGTGATGTTCGAGTAAGAAACGCCAAAGCTCATCAAACCTACTTGAGTATTCAAACATGTGACCTTCTCAGCTGATCAGACCTACTTTGAGTGTTCAAATATGTAACCTTCGAATAAGAAACGCCAAAGCTGATCAAACCTACTTTACTTGAGTATTCAAATATGTGACCTTCGAATAAGAAATGCCAAAGCTTATCAAATCTACTTGAGTGTTCAAATATGTGACCTTCGAATAAAAAACGCCAAAGTTGATCAAACCTACTTGAGTGTTCAAATATGTGACCTCCGAATAAGAAACGCTAAAGCTAATCAACCCTACTTAAGTGTTCAAATATGTGACGTTCGAATAAGAAACGCCAAAGCTCATCAAACCTACTTGAGTATTCAAACATGTGACCTTCGAATAAGAGACGCCAAAGCTGATCAGACCTACTTTGAGTGTTCAAATATGTGACCTTCGAATAAGAAACACCAAAGCTGATCAAACCTACTTTACATGAGTATTCAAATATGTGACCTTCGAATAAGAAATGTCAAAGCTTATCAAATCTACTCGAGTGTTCAAATATGTGATTTTCGAATAAGAAATGTCAAAGCTTATCAAATCTACTCGAGTGTTCAAATATGTGATCTTCGAATAAGAAATGCCAAAGCTTATCAAATCTACTTGAGTGTTCAAATATGTGACCTTCGAATAAAAAACGCCAAAGCTGATCAAACCTACTTGAATGTTCAAATATT